TATATGTATATGTATATATATTCTGACATATACATCTATTAGTATAAGCTGAAAAATAAATTTCTAACGACTTGGCCTAGTTTCTTACGGATGCGTATACGTGTACGGGGGATAGATTAAATTGGAATGATTATATGAAAATAACGGCCTATGCGATTAAAGAGAGAACAAGGAATTTATCTCGAGAACAAGTACACTTCTCGTTCATTCGTTGATTCATTCGTAAGGTACGACTAGCATCATATGGTTACGGAATATACAAAATATACACGTTAGCCATATAACGTTTACAAACTCGAGAATATCAAGTAGTATTCTCGATAACTCGAAGGTCTCGTAAGAAATGACGTATCGTCGGGCGTATAGTTAGTAGATACATAAAAAGGAACAACAAAAGAAAGAAAAAAAGAGAAATTAAAATATACGAGTTTAATGATAGCAACGATGACGAACGACGACAACAACGAATATAATTTAATAGTCCGAAACGGGAATTCGATATCTCTCTGATAATACAAAATTAACTTATTTTTTTTGTTTCTTCTTTTATTTTTCCCTCGTATAAATATTATAAACTAAACGAAAGATAAAAAAAAAATATGATCTAATAGGTTGCGAATTTGATAATGAGATCGAAAATGTTAATTAAATCATTGATAATTAATAACAACAGTGTCACAATGAAATTTCGAATAAATTATAATATTATCTTTTCTCGTCGTAGCTTATAGAAAATTGTCGTGTTAAGAGAGAAATATCATGCGAGTTGGAGACTAAATCTACACGAAAAAAAGAAAGAAAGAGAGAACGAAAAAGGGAAAGAGAAGGAGAGACGATTGGTCGATATTTCGTGCACATGCTCGCGTGTGTGCAAGAAGCAAAGGAAATAAAAGAAGAAGAAGAAGAGCAAGAAGAAGAAGAAGAAAATGGCGGCAACAAAACGAGAACAGCCAAGAAGAATAAGAATAAAAAGAAATTGAACAAGAACAAGTATAAGAAAATGGCGGCAAGAATAATAAGGACAGTTAATAAAAAGAATAGAAATACGAATTGTAAGATGGCGACAACCAAACGAGGGATGTTGCAGAACAAGAAGAAGAAAGAAGATGTAAAAGTAGAAGAAGAAAACCTTCGAAAACGGTGAAATAATAAAAGTAGAAGTAGAAGTAGACGACGAAGAAGAAGAAGAAGAAGAAGAAGAAGAAGAGGTGTAAAAACAAAATAAAAAAGATGGCGACAGAAAAACGAGTAGGATGTAGAAAAGAAGTAGAAGGAGAAGTAGAAGTAAGATGTAGAAGTTAGAAAAAGATAGAATACATCGATCGTGTGGTGATGGTGGTGGCAATGGGGGGGGGGGAGAGAGGGGAGGACTGGTAGAGGAAAGTTGTTTTTTTCCATTTACACAACTCGTTCCGAAGAGGGACAAAAAGGAATCTGGTATGAGGAGGACCACTGTAAGCAGCAAAAAGAGAAAGATAGAAAGAGAAAGAGAGATAAATAGATAGATAGATAGATATATGGATAGAAAGAAAGATAGAGAGGGAGAGATCGAAAGCTATGGTATTTCGAAGCGTTGCGCAATCCTTCTTTCGCACAGCAGTTTCTCCTCTCTCTCTCTCTCACTCTTTCTCTCTTATTCTCTCTCTGGTTTGTCAGCTGGTTTCAAGGTCGCCCGCTCCAGGAGATGATTTCAGAAAGGAAAGACACGAGTACGAACTTCGAATCTACCAACGACGACGACTCGTTTTAACTGTCGAGCGTTCTCGTTTCGAAAATATACGAGCCGAGCACGATGAAAAAAAAAAAAAAAAATAAGGAAGAAAAAGAAAGAATTTTGAAAAAGTAAAACGCGCCAAGTCTCTTACTCTTTTATGCGTAATTTTTACAATAAATAAAGCTATAAAAGATATTTTAACGATTACATTAAGAAGAACATAAAATTTCAATGTAACGTTTGTTTGTTTGTTTGTTTTTCTGACTTTCTTTTTCTGTTCATTGAATAATTCGCGATTAGAATATATTATATAATACTTGTCTTCGCGTATAATTACTTATCCTCTACTTTTTATGCGTGATTTATTGAAGAGACTAAAGGAAGAGGATTTATTTAAGGAAAAAAAAAAAAAAGAAAAAGAAAAAAAAAAGAGAAAAAAAAAAGAAAAGGAAAGACAAGAAGCGTTTCGAGAAATCATATCATATGTACAAAGGTGCTCGTTAAAGTGATTCCAATGGCGTTACGTAAATGCTTCTTATGAGATATCAAAGTGTTAATGCTTGATCGAGACACTCTGCGTGTATGATGATATAATAATAATTTTAATAATAAGCTCGTTTATATTACATAATAAACAGCCTGTTAATAATAATTGATTGCAACAGTTAAATGATATTTATATAAATACGGGTGATGTGATGCACGAAACTATCGACAAATTTAATTCCTATTCTTATTCTCCTTATTTGTTTAGTTTTATGCATATTATATTGATTTATCGTTAATATCTTTACAAAGTCACGGAGAAGGATACACGCGGACTCTTAATAATCCGACTATACATCAAATAGGATTAACCGCTGAACAGCTTCGGATGAAGTCTTTGAGTGGGAACCTACCATCATGGCCATAACCACTGACATGGCTGATCGAGTTCCGAAGGAAACTAGTTTACGAAAAAGCTTCATCGATCGAATTTGAAATTGTAGCAAGTATATAACTATACTATACTATACTATACTATAACTCTCAAGATCAAATAATAACTACTAAAATTTGAAGACAATTCTTGAAATGAAAGCAAAATATCAAAGGAAATTAAAGGATCCAGATAAAAAAAATAATGATCTTTAGTTAAGACAATTAAGGGACTTTTTAAATAGAAGATAAAGCTATTATATCAATACAGGTTGATACAAAGGAGGGGTTTTAACGTGAAATAGAACTTAAATACTACTCGATGCATCCGATACACAAACCACATGATATTCTGTTATTGACGTATATATTATATATATATCCCCCTATTCGTCGAATAAATAAGCCTCGAGACGAGTGTACTTGTGAAAGATAAATAGAGAGAGAAGGAATTGATGCGATAACGATTAATGCTGCACGAAATTGATGGGCTAATTGACGAACCACCAACAGCAACAGAAACAGCAGCAGCACACGAAACTCACGAGTTGGATTGGAAACGACGATATCGTTCAAAAGGGAACGTGAATGGATTTCATGGAAAATACAAAGAGAAAGAGAGAGAGAGATAGAGAGAGAGAATAGAACAGGTGGAAAGATCATAATGGCAGATAGAAAGAGAATCAATGTCTATTTTATCTGTCTGGCCTTGAAATATGAAATTAGCTCTAATTGCGAGCTACCTAAAACCATTGAAAATGACTAATAAACTACTACGAGTCTTTCTTTATTATTTAATATAAAAGTGTGTCATTTTTGATTGGTATTTGTAAACAAAATCTTTTTCCATTTAGATAGGTCAGTTTGAAATAAATCTCGAGTTACTCAATAGAGAAATGTCTATTTATCGTTTATGTTCTTTCTTGTGAACTAACTTTACCATCGATTCGCATCACGTGCTAGTTTCTAAACGAAATGATGAACAAAGGAAAAGATGGAGGGACGAACGAAAGAAAATAAATTTATTATGCGACAAATAATGACTAACGTTAATAAGGAAAAATTAATTTTAACTTAATGCTAAAATTGTGAAAAAAAAAGAACATTTTTACAGTTAGAATAAAAAATTGAAATTCTTGAATGATTTAATTCTAAACTATCAGATTTTCGTTGAATGATTTTTCTCAATGATCATTAATTACACAATTTAATGTCATTTAACGGTTTCCTAGTTGATAAAATAAACGAAAAAGATAATGAATTCACGGAGACGGATACATCCTCCTTTCCACGAAAGAAGGGATCTAACTTTAATACGAGAAAATTATGAGAAATACGAACTACGCAATTTCCTCGTTTCATCATTTGCTCGTAGATCCTAACGTTGATTCTGCGTCACGACAGGGATCAGACGTAAACGTATTTGCTACACGCTCATATGTTAGGTTAATGACCAATTAACGAAGCGAACGATGAAAAACATCATTCATTTATTCATCCATGTAATAAACTCGTTACATGAAACGTAATGCACGTGTGTTCTCTGCACAATGAAACAGTGCAAAAGAAAAAAAGTAACGAAGATCGACGTTTTGTTTCCATTTAAAAATTTAGTTACAAAAAGAAACAGAAAAAATATAATAAAAATTTATCCAAAGCTTGTAAATAGAAAACTTATAGATAACTTTTTCAATATACATATATTAATCGAACTAACAGAATTTGTTCGTTATCTCCAAGAAATACAATTTTTTCCTTTTCATACGTTGTTCATTAAAGTACAGGTATCCTGTACTTATAATTACGATAAGAGAATACTTCGTTAACGAAGTTACATCCAACGATGCGTATTATTTCTTGATGTTAGATCAATGAAAAAAAGATAAACGCAAGCTAACGCGAATTTACACTTATCAAGAGGAAAAATGGAAAAGCTACTAGTAGTATAGCTTATCTTTCTAAATAATAATTAATAATAATAATCATTTTGGTTAGTACCTTTAGGATATTTCGATGAAACTAATAAGAAAAAGTATTTCTTTATCGCGTTTCCTCTCCATCTTCTTCCTCTTCTTCTTCTTCTTCTTCTTCACCGAATAAAAATTAAGTTCTTTCATGGTCTTCACTGAATCTCGAATCACGTCTGACTCGAGCCGACCTTCTCTACTGATACTATTACGTTATAGCTAGTAAGTAGGTAGTACTTGTCCAGTGAGCAATTTGTGTCCTTCGTCGAGGTTAGTATACACGCGTATATATAAATACATATATAAATACATGTATATATATATGTATTTAATACACAGCCACATTTCAGAGAAAGAGGGGAATGAGGGGAAGGAGGAGTAGGAGGAGGAGGAGGAGGAGACTACAAACCATCGGCGGTCGACGTGCTGTGCCGAGAAAACCGACGAGGACGACGGTGACGCCGTCGAGGATCGAAATGGCCTCGAAAGGCGTCGAGACGCAAGCGTCGCCACACACTCTCTCTCTCTATTTCTATCTCTATCTCTATCCCTCTTTCTACTTGCCACCGTCAAATTCGATCTCTATATCTATCCGTCTCTTTCTCCCTCATTTTACTCTCATAAAATTTCGCGCCAATCTTAATCGAAATTCGATCAAAATAAATCAATCAAATAATTAATTAATCAATTAATTCATTATATAATTAATTAATAAAATTAAATATTGTGATATATAAATATGACATTTTTAAAATATAAAAACGAAAGAAAAAGGAAAGAATACAAAAAACAAATTTGTTAAGACAAACAATTAATTGGGCAAAAGTTATAGATTATCTTTCGTAGAAAATGGATAATATTTAACGACGATTTCCCGACGACAACGACAACGACAATGACGAAGACGAAGACGAAGACGACGACGACTCGAGAGAAGGTTACCGGTTGCCGCCTTGGCACTGACAGTGGCTCTCCTCTTTCTCTCTTTTTTCTCTCTCTCGTTGTTTCTTTCTTTCCATCTGTTTGTCTCTTTTTCTCTCTGTATCGACACTCGCCGGCTCGGTACTCGCGCGCGCCTAGCAACACCGAACACCAAACTGTCGGCTCGACGAAGCCAGCCGGCAGCCAAGCATCGTGCCCCCCTTTTTCCATCATGGCGTCGTCCTCTCTCTCTCTCTCTCTCTCTCTCTCTCTCTCTCTCTCTCTCTCTCTCTTACTCACTCTCTTTACATACCACCCTCCCTCCACCTGCTCGTTCCTTCCTTCCTTCCTTCTTTCTTTCCTTTCTTCCTTCCTTCTTCTCTCTCTCTCTCTCTCTCTCACACACACACACACACGCGCACACACTTTTGTAATCCTTTATCTTTTAGCTCATAATGTATGACTTTGCTCGAAACTAACATATCTTTAATTTTATTATTTGATATGATTGTATACGTTGTTACCGTTCAAATTTGACATCGGCTAAACCACGAAATAACTATACTGGCCGGTTTAAATATGAAAGAAGGCTGAATTACATACTTTAACTGGGTACTTCACTAAAGACAATTAATTAAAATATGAAATAGAAATTTGATCCATTTGATTAGATCCGATAAAACATCAGGATTAACAGAACATTAGTTTTTGAAGTATAGAAAGAAATAAAAAGGGATCACGTTACGAGAGTATTGTTGTAAAAAGTAAAGCAGACTTTAAAGGACAAATCAAATTTGAAAATAATTTGTAATAAATGTCTATTTATTTTGGGTCAAACCAAAGATATTCACGATTAAATCGAATTATATTAATTAACGATACATATGAATTTTATATTCCATTATACGTATATATATATGAAATTGAATAACATTACATTATTTAATTGTAAAATTCAAAATTATATTTCAAATATTCCATTTATATGCATATGCATAAGCGATATTATTAATGAGATAATTATGTATATATGTGCAGTATATCTAATTAAAATATAGCGAATGTACTTGATTTTTTAAGATTAATACGAAAATCCCGTTACATATAATCTGCCTAATTGCCAGAGAATTGTGACGGGTTGTTGTCTCGATCGTAGTTCGAACGTTACTAAATCGTTTTGTAAACATACGGTTTCTTTTTATAAATCATTTTTTCGAATTATCGACAATATAAGAAGATTTTCCTAAAAAGGTTAGACAATTTGTTTACTTTTAATAAGAACATTAATCGATCGATATTTGGCCGCATTATTTTCAAATCCTGAGCTGCTTTTTCCCCCAGCTGTTTTTTTTTTTATTATTATTAAAAGGATCGTTAACTTTTTTGTTAATAATAAAAAATTGTATACGGGAGTAGCCGCAAAGGGTTTGAATTTTTTTGGAGAAGTTTCTTCTTGTTGTTTTATGCTCGGATAAGGGTAAAAATAAATGTTACGTTGGCCAAAGACCAAGTTCGAAAATAATTGGAACTCGAAGGATCGGCGGTATTTCGTTGTTAGAATTTCTAATACGCGCGGATTAAACTTGCCGTTAGTTTGCAACACAGCACAGAACGACTTGGAGAGCTTTCACTTCTCGCACAGATGTTCCAACCCAAAGGAAATATGATTTCTCTCGATTAACAAATCGAACATCGAATGTTTTAATCCTGTATCGTGATCGGTTCGTTATTTTGTAATTTAAATGGCACGATTTTTGTCTCCAACCATCTCCGATTCGGAACATCTCGATTTCTATGTTATCATCGACAGTACAAATTTTGTCATCTAACGGATTCAATTTTTTCTTTTCAAATATTACAATTACGAACAAAATACGTATATAGGTAAAATTTTTAATAATTATTATATATAAAGAAAAAGAAAGAAAAACAATGCGGTAATAAGTCTAGAGATTGGATAAACATCGTGAAAAACGTATTGCGTAAATCGTAAAAAAATGCGTTCCGATAATAGCACTTTTTTCGTGACAATAACAAAAACTTACTTCTTCCTCGTCATTCGCATTACGTTCGATAAAAAATAAATAATATAATAATCTATACCCGGAATTTTGAAAATGTTTATATCATAGGAACGACGACGAAAGGATTCTCGACAACGTTTCAAAGGATGTTTCCCTTTCTTCCTGGAATATTTTCCTTTTGGCATGAAAATAAATTGCTAAGCATGTTACGTACACCCGTTTTAGACCGTACGTGTCATTTATATTTACCAAGGAAATATTTGTATCGAATTTTTTTGTTTTCAAACGCGGCATGCAACAACGTAAAAATCGACAATTTTCTTTCTACTCTCAACGATACTTTACCGAAAAAGAAAAAAATACATTATGTATACATTTATTGATACGCCAATTAGGGAACGTCAAATGTGATATATGTGTGTGTGATCATTTAATTAATTAATTATCACTTAAAAGTAAACGGAACATAAATACATGCATATACATGCATGCATGTATAAAATATTTTCGTCGGTAAAGTTTGTCTTCTTTTCTTTTTCCTTCACCGTGACCTACTTCTTCGGAAAGGAAGAAAAACGTTTAAGGGGAAGGAAAAAACCACGTAGACGAAGTATCGAATGCAAGAAGAATATACGTGTATTTTTCTTTGCTCTTTACTCTTTATCCGAATTCCTTTTTTCTCCATTTTTGCTTCTTTTTAAACTCGAATACTTTGAAAGTATTAAGTCTCCCCTTTAGTCTGAATCATTGACAAGATTTATTTCTTTTATATTTCACTTTAAACACCAAAATTTTCTTCCAATTCGAGCTTCGTCGTGTATCTTTCGTTTGTATTAAAAAAGAATACTTAATTATTTGACATAAAGATAATTAATGAAAATTCGATTATTCTTTACTTGCGCCGGTTGGTTTATATTAATTAACTCGATTGTTAAATTAATTAAGCGTAAAAGTAAAATTAGAGATTGGTTAATGAATAAAATTCAAATGAATAATGGAAATCAATAAATAAAAATATATTTTTTCTTTACATCTTTCGATTATATATATATATATATACATTTGATTGCTCGAGTAAATAATACAAATTTAAAAATAGATAGAGAATAAAAAGGATTAAAATATTCACGTATCTTGTGAGATACATAAATATATACGCGTGTGCGCATAGAACGTTCGGATTTACAAGGGCATTTAGCCGCACCTTAAAATCAATTTTGACGAGAGTCAGAACAAGTACTCGTGGGAGTGCCAAAATGATTTAGACCTCCTATGGCTTCTTCGAACGAATTTTCGATAAGAAAATAAAATACGGCTATATAATTAAAGGGACACGATATTGCCACAACAACGACAATAACCTTCCGATCGAACTGATGATAAAAAGATTTATTCGTTAAGAAAATTTTGTGGTTTCCTATTTAGTTTTTAATTCGTTTCTCTGATATAGAAAAATAATACTTAATGATAATGATTCTTTGGTTTTAATCGGTATGGGAATTTCATAAACCATACCCTTCCTTGTAATTAGAGAAATGTGTTGGAAATTTGTATAGTTTTTATTTTTTTTATACGGATTGTGTATTTTTCTATCATTTATTTCCAAAGATTCCAATTTCATTTCACGATAACGTATCTGTATTTGTTCTGTAATATTTTATTCCTAAAATATGATTACTTTGGGAAACACACGCTGAACGACAAATTTCGAACTACGTTCAATTAACAAATTTATATTATATATTTAACAATTCGACACGTATTGCATATACTTTGGTGGATACAAAAATTTCGAGCCTCAACATAGAAATAATCTTTAAAAAAAAAAAAAAAGAAAAAAATAAATTAATAAAATAATTAATTATTAATTACGTTTGACCAATTCCAAATTAGACAATTTATCTCTTGTAAAGAAGAAAAGAAATCAGATTGATGAGGATTCGAGATAATCAAATCGAAACTAATGAATTTTCTCGCGATATCTTTAACGAAATAAAAAAAAAAAAAAAAATAATAAGAAGAAGAACTAAGAAGAAAATAAAAGAAATAAATAAATTATTCATCGAATTGTGTAAAAAATGGATGAAATTTCGTTCGGGGTTTTTCGTAGTCAATAATTGTTAATTCATTGATTAGGAAGACAATCCAATTGATCCAACTTATCTACACCTGTCCTACTTTCGTCGGCTAGGAAAACGTCGCAAACATAATATTGGAAAAGATGTTTATGGCTCTGTCCATATATGATCGTTAAAGCTCAAGTATCTTCTACGATTCTTTTCAAAGTTCTGCAAAAAGAAAAAAAAAGAAAGTACTTCGATATTCTGTGCTGTGTTCTGACGTGTTGTGTTCGACTAACGACGTCTTTTATGCCAAAAATAATACTAACGTTGTTCCTAAGAGCATACCTAACGCGACGGAAGCTTTGACTAAACCCTGAGCAACATTCCACGCTCGATTCGGTTCGCTGTTTCGTTCGAAAACGTTCATCGACGAAAAATACTATACATTCCGATTAAAAAAGGTCGCATGTTAAAATGTTGAGAAGAGGTGGTGGCGGTATTGGAGGGTAGAGAAGAAAGGGAATGTGATAGAGAAAGAAAGATAGTATACGATCACGATAATAACTTTAATATAGGATCATCATGCTCACTCAAATGAAAAGAAATTCACATTATTTCATATTTTTTAATCATATTTTCAAAGTCATAAGGTGGCTGGTACACGTAGGAAGAAATATATTTGAGTGAAAATCAATTTATCAACGAATTCCAACGATATCGTTTTCCCATCATTTCGGAGAGTGGTACGAGTACAACGTGGAATAATCGGTCAAGGCTGAAACCTTAATTCGCGGACCATAGAGAAGAATCCACTATAACAAATGATCAAAGACATTTCTTAGATCTATCAATGTAAGTAACGACGCCTCCTACATAGATTAACAATTCACGTTCGAACATTCGGTCAAAATCAATATTTAAGGCTTATAACGAATCTACGAGAACTAAAAAGTGATTTGAAATTCTAATAATACTACAACTCGAAAAGAAATCTTGAAAGAATGATAAGTAACTAACGGCGATCAAAAAATCAAGACGCATAAAAAGAAATAAGGATAAAGAAAATCCAAGAAACAAGGCGCAACTTTCTACTGCAAGGAGACGCAGGAAGGATAAGAAATAAGGAAACGAAAAAATAAAAAAGAAAGAGAGAGAGAGAAGTAAAGGAGAAACGACGGAGATAGTATAGGTTCGACCTCACGAGGAAAACGTGCACAAGAAAAGGGGAACGCGAGGAAAAGGAAGACAAGAAGGAATAGGGTTGGGTAGGGGTAAAACGATAGAGGGAAAGAGAGAGAAGGAAGAGAAAAGAGCGTGCGCCGAGCACGACTCCCTCCTGAGATGACATCTTCCGCGACCTTGGAACGGAGACTGACCTTGACCGTGTCAGTCCCCACCAATTGCGCGACAGGCTCGGTCGGCTCCGCGTTTTCTCTCTCTCTCTCTCTCTCTCTCTCTCTCTCTGAACCACCATCTCTTTCTCTTTCTATCACTCGCACAACATATTACGCGAATGCGATGTTGCTCAGGACTGGTGATGGTGACGGTGACGGTGACGGTGATGGTGTTAGTGGTGGTGCCGTTGTCGATGCTGCTGCGGCTGCGGGCATCGTTGCTGCATCGACCGGCCGCCGGCGCAGCGGCAGACTGCCTACCTCCTGCCACCCCAACACCCACCCACCTATTCCCCTCCAGTATATCAGTCCAACCCCCCGAATCTCCTCGCTACGATCGGCATCCAGCAGGCTCCTTTCCAACCCCTTCGACGCACACCACGAACAACCCTCTCGTCGCGTCACCCGCGCACCCAGTCAATTCTCTAATCCCCTTTTTCGGTTCCTCCTCCTCCTCCACCCCTGTCTTCTTTTCCTCTTCCTTCTCTGCATTTACTTCCACACCCTAAGCGAAGCCATCTTTCTCTTCGCTCTAGTACGATCCTGGCCCCACTAACACCCATTGGGTGTTCCACCAAGTATCCCCTTTCCTCTTTCTTCCTTCCTTCCTTCCTTCCTTCCTTCCTTCCTTCCTTCCTACCTCCGGAACCCTTTCCTCCTTCAAGATAATATAGGTGAAAATATAGGGTGACGCGATTTGCTTGATTCCTCTTCCTATCCTCATTCTTTATTGCCTTAACTATAGCCCTAATAGTTCTTAACTTTCTTTCGTCTTTCCCTTTCGACGAGTAGCCGTTCTATTTTGACTTTAAGTACCGCATTTAAAACTTTAAGTTTTGAGTACAATCGAGAGATATTTAAAATAAAAAAGAAGAATATTTTTTACAACGCGATTAAAAATGGGATAGAAACCAAAGTTATTATTACATTGGTATATTTAACGTTTTTTTTGTATCTCTTATCTCACAATTAGTTTTTATTCTGTTGCTTATTATTTTTATATCTGAATGCTCCTCGTAAAACGTTCTTTCCAATCAATATGGAACATGCTCGACCTTCGCAACGACTTCAAATTCCCTTCCTCTCTCTCTCTCTCTCTCTCTCTCTCTCTCTCTCTCTCTCTCCCTCTCTCTCTCTCCCTTCATAATGAAATGTCGATATCGATTGTATTCTTAGATACGCATCGATTTCGATATCTCAAGTAATGTCGACATAATCGACATATTTGATATTTTATGTTGATTACGTTCAAACATAATTAATTACAAGTATCATTAATTCGAAAACAAAAAAGACAGTTATTTGCACATCATAATTGATATTAATAAAAATTATTAAATACATAAACTTAATAAAACAAATGATTGTAATATTGAGGAATATTAATAACGACTAATTGTATTTACCTTTTTGCGAAACAAAAAAAAAGAAAAGAAAATTTTTGCGTCATTTTTGGCAAAAACGTTTACACTAGCTTCAAAATTGATTCTAATCTCTCTCTCTCTCTCTCTCTCTAACAATATATCAAGATTAGATTTAACTTGTTTAAAACATCCCATCCCGCCTTTATCATGAATCAGCTGGTAAACAAAACAGCACGCGCGTGCTGGAACGAGAACCCGGATAGATAAATGACGTCACCCTCTTACAATCGATTACGTTTAATCGACGAGAAATCAAGAAAAGTATAAACATAAATCAAACGACGAATTTCTTTTCGTTTATTGCGATTTTCGAAATTTATCAACACGTATATTTATCAAATTTTTACACCATGTGCTTTTTCCCGGCAACAACCTCAAAACATAGGACAAACATGAAAACATTCCTTGTAATATTGCTTAAACATTCGCTATTCTGTCTTATGATTATTGTCAAATATTACGAGAATATTAATAAAAGTATTAATTATGACTTTTACTCACCCCTATCAAATTTTTTCCCCTCCGGATCAATATCTTTCACATTGAAAATATCCTCGAACAACACACCAGCCATTTTTGATTACCAATGATCGCTCTGCCACCTAACGACGGATATTAAAATTATTAATAGGGCCGTACCAATAAAAAGGGCACTAAAGGCATTTTTACATAGAATTATTTTTCATATTATGAAACGTATTTTTTGTTTTAAATTAAATTTACATGACGTCTTATTTCTTTTTTAAATATTTGGCTAACAAAAAGATGAACATTTCAATTTATCTATTTAATTTATATATATTACATTAGAATTATTTTTATAATTATTCGATTATTATGAAATATTATACTGTAACTATACCAGTGTGTTGTTTCCGAATTTGCATCAATTGATGTGTATATAAATTTTGTATAAAATAAATCGAAAATACAGTAGAATTAATGACTTATTAATTAAATTATTGTTAAATTAATTATAACCTATGCAATTAGAAGAAATAATAACTTAAAATAAATAGACTCTATAATTTCTTTCGTATGCAAACAGTTCCGCGATCAGAATAATGGCAACCTTGAAAGTTAAATTTTTTATATGTGATAGAGGGAGCTACAGAACAGTTTCGTGGTTTTACGTCGCACAAGAATCGTTATCCTTTTCTACGTAGCAAAAAAGGGAACTATCCCCGCTTGATGTATATAACCCCTATGATTCTATCCACCGATGACGCATTGTTACGAGACGTTACGTAAAAAACTAACACATCGTAATGCGTTATGCGATCTTAGAAACAAAATTCATAAAATTGTAGCAAGGCAAACATGACAGCGTTCTATCTCTGCACATATGAAAGAAAAAAAAAAGGAAGAAATTATTAATTTAAGTATATCATAATCATGTAATTTTCGTTTAAATGAAAAATTCCATTTGTAGGATTATTTATCGACAAATGATGTATATTTGTAGAAACAATTATCGTAATCGCGAATGATTTTATCAATGAAAACAATATACATGTATGTGTGTGTGTGTGTGTGTGTGTGTATAGGAAATAAAATAATAATCTTTAATACCGCTCTACCGTTATAGTATCTGATATTTACCATACGTTTAATAACATCGATGGTGATAGTCATAAAACACATCTCACAGCAGTAATTAAAGTGCAAAAATCGCCCACGTTCATTGCTAATGTTATATATCGTCGTTAAAGTAGATTGCCATCATAATATAATACACCATTGGCGAAAATATGACCACTATTAACTACAATTTGTGATAGTAATTTTTTCATATAATCAATAAAAATATTTTGTACGCAAGTTATAAACTTTAACATTTTTCTTTACTTTCAATTATATTTCCAATACAGATTGCTTCTTTACCGACGATATAAAATATATATACAGAGAATCCAAAGGTACATAGAAGCTCACAAGTCCCTTTTTTTATCTAACCAGATTCATCTTAATTGTTACCGGGACCACCAGTGGACAATAGTGGGAACTACATATGACTGGGACTAAATATGAACTACAAATTTAAACGGGGAAGACTCCTACCATATATGGATAGACCTATAATATTTCTCTATATAGGTAAAATCATCCCCTATTTGTTTGTACCATCAATTATAGAACACCCTATACACATCATATACATATACTTATACATATACATACATAAACATAGATAGATACTATTCATTCTTTAAAAAATATTTTCTTTTCTTTATTGATATATATAGAATACATTAAAAATTAAATAAAACTGTAATATATTTATGAGCCGTTTATTTTAAAAGTGGGCTAAGTCTAATTTAAAATTTTTGTTTTTGTTGACTATAATAACGTATTAAAATAATACTTACAACTTCCAAGGATTTAATATTAAATTAAAACATTTGTTTTATATATAAATATATATGACCATTTAAATTTTTAACAAAGA